CAGCTGATCCCAGAGCTGTGCAGGAGAACTGATCCAATTAGCCCAGCTATGTAAATAGTGGTTAATGCTGCTCATTGTCTTCCAGCTCTATCAGTCCTTCATTTTGTACGTATATTATACCAGACTGGACTAGACTGGATATATAATTTAGGCATAAGGTGATCACAAGCAGATCCTCTCCACAACACATTTCCAGGTCCAGTGTGGACAGAAAGTTAAAAAGACTAAACAAGTTGGAGCCGTTCTTTATTGCTAAAACACAATTGGTCCAATTCCAATCCAGCCCCTACACCCTTCTTATTGCATGCCCCCACCTTAAACTGCTTTATTCTGTGTTTTTACCCGTTTTAAGGAGACCTTTGCGGAGAATTTAGCTCCTGGTAGAAACCTCCTGCACAATGAACACTGAAGGAGTCGTAACTAGGAGAAGCTGTCTGCAATGACAACGATGGTGGTGAAGGTAACAACCTTTCAATCATTCATGCAACTTCAGCACATCATCAAACTTCGTCTTCTGTTATTGTTTGGATATGAGAGACCCCCTACTGGCAGAAACTACATATAGTATGTTTAAATAAAATAGTCCTTATGCTTTGGAAATAACCGCATAAAACTCACATAAGTAGGTATGTGGGCGTTTCCTCCATCCTGGACACAAAAGAGGTGCTGCATTTGAGACTTTATGCATCAATTCAGGTTTATAAGCCTGCATTGATGTAGACTCTGTGTTTGAGGACTTTATAACCCGCTTCCACTTGATGAGAAAATTGTTTGCAATGACACTTTATGTGGCTGGCCATCCACACAAACGGAGTGAGAGTGGGTAGGGGGAGGGTGTAGGGGCCAGCTTGGAATTGGGCCATAAGGTCAATTTGGGTACATCCCTACCACAGACCATCAAGCCAATCATCAACAAGGAGCCGCATGCAGTCAGTTCGACCGCAGACTGTGATGTTTCTCGTTCAATTGACCAATTTACTGGCCACAATTACATAATTGCAGAAGTTTACAGGTGTCGAACATGTTTGCAGAGCCAGTCACAAAACAACCTGTAGCAGGCCTCACAGAGTTGGGTTGTAAGTGCAGATGGACGCAGCGCTGAAGCAGAAATGTGAGCAGTGTGTTGGATATACAGCAACTTTAGCTCCTGGTGTTTGTTTTGACACTCAAACAGATTAGAACACTGTTACAGTACATTACTGGGTGTGTGTGTGTGTGTGTGTGTGTGTGTGTGTGTGTGTGTGTGTGTGTGTGTGTGTGTGTGTGTAGGTGGGTGTGTGTGTGAGAGAGGAGGGTCAGGGGGGTGTTAGAGCCTGTTTGCCCTAATTGTTGAATGTTCCTGGTGTGTGTGTGTGGAGATTACAGTGTGTTCTGTGGTATTAAAGGGCTTAGAGAGGGACGTGATGGTCTGATCGCAGAGTATTTTCCTGGATGGTCTGGACACACACACACACACACACACACACACACACACACACACACACACACACACAAACATACATTCTTCACAACTTCTTCACAAAATATCCTTACCTACATTTCTTCACATATTTACACACATTAACCGTGTTTGTCAGTTATACTCACAGGCACATGCGTGCACTTGGAGTCCTTGGAACATCACAAAATACATTCTGTACTGTAAATCATTAGAAGGAGGTGGGTTGACTTGCAACCAAGGCCCCTGAAGTGTATCAGACCACCAGAACACGACTGAACCTAATTCTACCCTTAACCTCAAAACCAGACTATTATTGTGTGTGTGTGTGTGTGTGTGTGTGTGTGTGTGTGTGTGTGTGTGTGTGTGTGTGTGTGTGTGTGTGTGTGACAGCATTCAAACTGCTGTATTCAGTGAGTTCTGACTGACATCTAGTGGATAGTTCTAGTATTTAACATATTTCTGACTTTCTGTCAGTTCTGAAAATATTTTACTCACTAACTTTGTTATTGAGTTTTAAAAGCATGGTGACGTCACTACAAAACATCTTTATCCTTTGACCTTTTAATGTTCCAGCAGCCTTAATCTGGCACAGCTGTTGAGTGATAGTGAAAAGGGTTATTTTCATTATCAGTAAATCTGACTTTATTTCAATTCACCAATTAGTTGTTTGGTCTACAAAATATTGAAGATTGAGATGCCTTGTCAGTCTAAAACCCAAAGATATTCCATTTCAAACGAAACAGAAATAAAGCAAACTGTCACAAATGCAGAGATGGAATATTCGCTATTTTTTAAATTAATAATCAAAGTGATCAGTTCATTTTTGTTAATAGACTAACAATTAATTAACCAACTGTTTTAGCTCAATTTATTTTTTTGCTCGTTCTTACACTAGAATGTTGAAAATTGGATATCTGGAAGGGACCTATCTCTTTCAGTGTACTATGATGTCAAACCAGGGGCAGATCAGTGGCATGCAATTTGGTCTCGAATGTTGTCTAATTTAGCATTCAAACACATGTAATCAAACATGTAATCATCATTATCAGATCATTAAGGTCTGTTATGGCCACATTTTAAGTCATTGGTTTAAGTCAAATTTTATTTTATTTTATTTAGATATTTCTTTTCATTGCTATACTAATGTTTTAGAGCTCAAATGTCTTAATTTGGGGAATTTTCTAAGCAAATATTGATATATGTGATTGTTTATGGTTAAATCAGCATATATTTCTGCCACCCCTTAAAGTCTCCGCGCCACCCTCTGGACACACCATGAATATTTTGCTATATCCACCCCTGTGCAAAACTAGTCATTATAATGGAAGGAGAAATGATTACAATTAACAGATGTTAAGTTTATTATTTTAGACCAATGTTTGCATTTTGTTGAGTTATTCAATTTTAAGAAAGTGCTGAAGTGTATAAAATTCGAAGACTCCTGGAATATTTACCAAATAGAGGCTTATTGCCCAACATTAAATATCCCAACAGACTCAACTGAACATCATGTGCCATGGACTGCTTCAATAATAAATGTAACCACTCATACCACTTGGTTCATGAGAGGAAATAGTAGCTGTGAGATACTTCTTACTTAAATAAACTATTTTATTTTGAATTACTCCTTTGAGTCATCAATGAGAATGATTTTATTTTTATTTTATTGAAGTAATTCATATAAAAATAAATGTAGGCTATGCTATCCTGGACTGTTTGGGGTCAGTTAGACCCCAGATACGTCAAACTCCCTGTCGGACTTATGAACAAAGTGTTCATATGTCCTGCTGAAAACTCAGTAGGAAACATCATGAAATATCAAGCTGATAATTTGATGATTTGAAGATAGCGATACCATCCAGCCTCTCCGGCTGGCAGAGAAGCTCTCTGTGATGCGGGATCAGGATCTTGTGACCTGGATCATCGACAGTCCACAATATGTCAGACTGAACAGCTGCTGGTCAGACGTGGTGATGAGCAGCACTGTCACACCCCAAGGAACAGTACTGTCACCATTTCTGTTCACCCTCTACACCTCAGATTTCTGTTCCAACTCCTGAGCGTGCCATCCACAGAAGTTCTTTGATGACTCCTCCATTGTCGGTGATAGGGAGGAGGAGTACAGAGACCCGATCCAGAACTTCATTGGATGGTGCGACAGAAACCACCTACAGCTCAACACAGGGAAAACCAAAGAGCTTGTGGTGGACTTCCGGCGCAGCAAGAGGCCCCTCCTCCCCAGTTGCTTTTTGGGGGGTAGAAGGTAGAGATGGTGGACACCTACAAGTTCCTGGGGGTGACACTTAAATAAACTGGACTGGACGGATCACACTGAGACCCTCTACAGGAAAGGACAGAGCAGACTGTTCTTTCTGAGGAGGCTTCAACGTGTGCGCTAAGCTACTGTGGATGTTCTACCAGTCTGTAGTGTCCAGTGTCATCCTTTTTGCTGTGGTGTGCTGGGGAGGAGGCATCGGGACTTATGGTGCCAACAAGCTGAAATCAAGTCACACTTTCATTTATAGTCTCATATTTTCTATTATATTTTGTAATATTCTTATTTTGTGATATCTTATTGTACTTTCACTTCTGTACTCTTTACACTACATTCCACTATGCTGCTGTGTTTAATTTGAATTTCTCCTACGGGGGATCAATAAAGGTACATCCTATCTTATCTATATACAATGTCATATGTGTAAGCATGTTTTTAAATCGTAAAAGTGGTTGTAATAAATATCTTCTATACAGGTGGACTACCTCCACAGATAACTCACTGGCACATGCTCTTGTGGAGGTCCACCATTTTGTCTGCAGTTAGGTACTGTTGACATTCTTACAGGCGATTATAATGTGGAGAGTTTTAAATATCCGTTTATTGTCTTTTCTGCATCCAGACATAATTGTTCAAGAGAGAAACTCAATGAGAATTTTTCCCTCACCCCAACTCTTTATCACTAGTTTTGGTGCACAACCTGATACCGGTCTCTGTTGCTATGCTGTGAGCCCTGGCCTTTACTACATTACTGATTTTACTGATGTGGCAGCAAACCTCTCCCTCTTGTACAGGATCATTGGATTAAGGAAGTTCTATATAATATTAAACTTGAGAAACTCAGAATCTTCCTCGTGGGCTCGATAAATCATTCCAAGTAATCTGGAACAGCTTTATTAAAATATATTGACCTGCTTAACATTTCAACAGACACAGAAGAGTGAACAAGAGTGAACAACTCTCCTCCCCCATAAATTGTCTTTTTCCCAACTGCTCTTGTATCCTTTTTGTGACCCCCTTTTTTCATTCCTTTTTCTCAGTTTTTTCTTTATGTGTTTTTCCTGAGCTGAGCGTAAGGATTTGGAAATGTCCTGTTTTGTTTCGTACAGTACGGACTGTTGAATGACCTTAAAAATAAATGATAAACAGTTGGGGGGGGGGTGTTTGCAACCTCTGATCCAAAGCTTGCTCTGTTGCTTCTCAGAACACAGCCCAGAGTGCCGACTCTGAGCCGCTATCGGCCCAACTTGACTGGAAACCTGTGATGCACGTACCAGCGGGAATACTGATATCTGTAAATGTGAATAGCAACACAGTGTTTGTAGTTTTAATGGACTACAAAGACCATCAGCACAGACTGGATGTCCACTATGGTGATTGTGGGGAGATTTTCCTTTAAAGAGTCTGGAGGAAGACATGACCATGTTGGTGCAGAGAGGTGAAGAAGGACAGAGAGAGAGAGAGAGAGAGAGAGAGAGAGAGAGAGCACAGCGAGCATTCACTCATTCTTTCGCCTCCTCAGTTAAAGGGGCAGTTTTTGTTTTTCTCTCAGGATGTCTGAAGGTGAATCAGCAGGAATCAAACTTGCGTCGGTGGACTTTGAGATCTTCGGTCACGTTCAGGGTCTGTATGTTTAACTCTCCCCCCTCTTCTTCTCCTCTTTTCTGCTCGCTGAGCCGAGGCTGTAAACTGATCTGCTGCTGCTTAATTTAGGAATGAGCACAGTCCTGTGGCTGCAGGCGGGACAGAATCTCACTGTACTTTCACTTCCTGCAGCTTCAGGACATATTGTTATGAATTTACCACATAATATAATGAGCTCTTTGTTTTAGTTAGTGGAAATGAGAAAAGCTAAAACATTTAGTATAGAACATACACACAACAAAATGTATTTATGTCATAATTCATAATTGCTGTTTTCTAATTACATATTTTAATTAACTTTCTCTCTTTTAAATTTCAACAGGAGTCTGTTTCAGAATGGTGAGTTTCTCTGAGGTTGTTTGCTTCAGTCCCAGTGTTTATACTTTAAGTACATTTTACTGATCATATATACATAGTTTTACTTAAAGTAGTGGTTCCCAACCTTTTTCCTTTTCTTTTTCTTTTTCCTACACAATAAACTGATGTTTATTAATAAACTAAGTGATATATTTTATGGATATATCATATTATATTCAATGTATAACAATAACAGTGTACCATGGAAATGTCCTGCTGTGAATATTTGATCAAAAATTTGTTTTCCTGATAATTTTCTTATACATTTTTCTGTCTGTATTTTATTTCAATTAATATTTTTTTTACCAATCATACATACTTAGTAGTCTCTTTTTTTTTTGACAGATTCTGTGTTTTCTTCTCCCTGACACTTGGTCATTGATCTATTAGCTCTTTTGTTTTAACAGCAACCCTTTCTTATGCACCCCTTAAAACTAAGAAGTCCTGAAGTTTGGGCAACCCCCAGGTTGGGAACCACTGATTTAAAGGACCAGTGTGTAGGAGGATTTAGTGGCCTCTAGTGGTGAGATTGCATATTGCAACCAACTGAAACCCCTTGACTCAACCAGGCGTGTAGGAGAAGCTACAGTGGCCACCAAAAACAATTCTTACTTTGAGGTGATTATACATAAAAAATGTATGAATATTGTATTTCATTTCTGCCAATAGATCCTCCTAAATGTTAAACACTTGACCTTTATGTAAAAGTACTTGAGTAAATGTACTCTGACAAAAATGAAACGTGGGCTTGAGTAAATGTACTCTGACAAAAATGAAACGTGGGCTTGGTTATTGATTTTCACATTTATGCTGGATCCAGAGTACTGCCGGGGGCCGACACAGTTCAGCACCAATGCCTTCACTGAGATTATTTTGTCATGTGATCTGTAATAAAGTACTCTGAGGCTCTGGTTTATCAGCCTTTTCTGGAGCATTTGACTATTTATAATAGCCTTCTTCAGAAAATGGAATTCACTGATACAGTAATAGTGCTTGAACCCTCAGAGACTATGTGGGCTGTCTATAATTTTGGATTTCCTCTGCCACTGTAGAGCGCAATGAATTTTTTGTAATTCCTTTAAAAGAGTCTGTAGAACTGCTAAATGGCTCAAATGGCATCAAAAGAACCCTCAAGGGCTTTTCAATTTCACTGTGTCACAGAGCTGAGCCCCGCTGGTTCTGTTGGACTGATCTCTCCTTGTCGACCTTCTGCGAGCCACTTGATACTACTACTACTTTACTGTCCAAGTCTGCCTTTTTGATTCAGACTGTGCTCAGCTGTTACAGTGTCAACCCACACCAATTCCAAGAGACACAGTTTGTCACCCCTCAGCAGGCTCTCTGAGTTTGTAGCTATTGCTCTTTTTCTGATATCATCTATCTTTTATCTTGTTGTGTTAAAGGACCAATGAGTAGGATTTAGTGGCATATATTGGTATAGTTGCAGATTGCAACTCACTCGCTTCACCTTCACTTAAACACATAAAAAACATGCATGGCCCTGTCTAGAGACAGTGTTAGGTTTGTCTGTTCTGGGCTACTGAAGGAAAATGAAAGTTCAACTTGGTAGACTCCACAGAAGGTGACCCGTTTTCTCTCTAGATAAAAACGGATCATTCTAAGGTAACAAATCATAACAATTCTTATTTGCAAGTGATTATACACTAATGAAAACATAGTTATGAATATTATATTCAATTTCTGCCAATAGATCCTCCTCAGTGTTATATACTGGACCTTTAAGAAAACTTTATTGTGCAAGTATGTACTATAATAACCCCTTCTTTCCTCCCTCCCTGCAGTACACAGAGAAGGAGGGTTTGCGGCTGGGTCTGGTCGGCTGGGTGAAGAACACCTACAGTGGGACGGTGGTGGGACAGGTCCAGGGTCCTGCAGACATGGTGGAGGAGATGTGAGTGCACACTTTTATACTGTGACACAAAAGAATCGGATACAATACAATTTCTCATTTAGCTTTTCTTTATAAAAATGTAAAAGAACCTGCACATCTGAATGTGTGAGAGGTGTGCTACAACTTTAATTAAATTAAAAAAAACTCAGCGTCTTGCTAACTGCTGTTTTTTTTAATTTATCATGTATATACATGAATACAGATGAAAATTGTGCAGAGCAAAACATTGCTCAAACAGGACACAGGAGAAAAATGTAAATTCCTTGATTTAAATGGACTGCAGTCTGCCTTGATTTTCCATTCAACCCTTACACTGTTGTTTTTTTATTATTATTTTCTACCACTAGATGGCTGTCTTTACTTTCACAACATAACCGACCAGTCTTCCTTCAGTTAAGAGAGGTGCAATCTGTGTAGGTTTCCCTGCTATTCAAATTCAAGTGTGTGTTGTTGTCTTTTTCTATTTTATCCAAATAGTTGAGGAGGAAATAAGGTTGTTGATCATAAACCAGTTCATGAACACGTCACTGCAGACTGTTGCGTTTTTGTTGCCTTTCTGTCTCTTCCTTCACTGAGTTAATGGTAATAAGCAATAATCAGTGATGAAACTGGAGCTCAGTTTGTTTTGACGTCCCCTGTCCGGTGGGAGTGATGTCAACAGGGTGTGGACATCTCATTTAGATGACATCACTGCCTCTAGGGATCTGTGACACACACACAAACACAGACACTTGACAAGTGTGAAACAGTGATATAATTCTCCGTTTGTTTTCAGCTCTTTGCAGCACCAGGCGGGTGGAGTTTAGTTTAGGATGTTTTGGCATTGGCACCATAGTTTCTCTTTTACTCTTGGAAGGGAAAGGTGAAGCAAAGAAGTTGCAATCTGTAACTGCTAGATGCCACTAAATCCTACACGTTACGTTAAACAGAGGAACCCAAAAGCAGATCACAAACTCTTTATTGAAAATCCGTGTGAATGAAATGGTGAGGTGTAGCCTCCCTAGGCAGAGTGGAACTGGAATCTTAGGGCAGCTTGGCAGACAGGGTGCAGTGGGCCGGTAGCTTCAGCAAAGCATATGATCCTGAGACACGGGGAAAAACAGGGTTAAAGTTTGCAGTAAAAAACACTTTTCTTAAGTACTCCAACTTGGCCTAGAACGTTGCTACCAGGTTTGTAGATGCAACAATCTGGCAGAAAGTGGATGGAGATCCAGGGTTTAAATACTGCAGGGCTGATGAGTTGATGGCTGGTAGGTTTGAGCAGTCAGACAGGTAAGCAGGTAATCAAGGAGAGTGGGAGGAGTCCAAACACACAGAGACATAGGGAAACCAAGGAGGAGAATACTACTGACTATAACAACACACTGGTCCTTTAATTCACTGAGTTAGATGTGAAAATCTTTGTGAAAATGGCTGCAAGGGCTGCACCGTAGGCTAACACCCGTAGAATATGACCATTAAAAGTGTCTGACAACATTAAGGAAAGGATCCCTACAGAGATAGTTTAACCAGAAACAGCCCTAATATCACTATCACTCACCACCAAATGGACAGAAACAAAATAAAACTTTAACACAAAAATAAAACACAAACATCTTTCTTAGTCTTTCCACTGTTCCAACAATCAACTCTGGTTTGGTTGAAATAAATCTTTAATTCACTGATAGATTGATTGATTGATAAAAACAGCAGTTTCAGTCGCTCTGCTCAGCTGCACACGGAGCAGACAGGTTATGGAAACAAACCACAGGGAGACTGATAGTAACACAGGCAGAGGGAGTGACACACCAGGAGTCCACTATATTTTTACATAGAGAACAGTTGTTTGCTGCTATATTAATGTTTTAAATCTCATATATATAACCTTTAAAAGTTGAAGTGGGGGCACACAGTACCATGACAGGAAGCAGATTTTCTGTATCAGAAGATAAAATCCTGTGTTTGGACTTTTGAATGCATTTGGATCGAGACTCGAGGAACAGAAAGGAGAGTTTGATTTAATAATAGAAGGAAATAAAAGCTGATTTCAGTTTGGCGTTTGGTTGAATAGCTATTAATCATTCGTAACCTCACTGTGACTTTTATAAACAGACTGAAAACACTCGCTTTCATTCAAGAGATTAAGCACACACGCACACTACTATGTCCGCCCATTCTATCCAGGATCTTTTCCGTGTTAACACGCTCACCCTCACGTCCTTCCTGTCGACTCCACTTTCACCACGACCTCACTTCCTGCTGGGCCTGGGAAACAGGAAGCAGCTGTTCCTCTTGGCAGAAAAAGGGGGGAAGGGAGGAGAGGGAGGGGGGAAACAATGGGCAGTAGGTAAGGGGGAGACAGGGAGATAAATATGGGAGTGGAGAAGGAGGGAAGAGGAGAAATAGGAAGGAAGGAGAGTGATGGAAGTGAGAAATGATGGTATATGAGAGAGAGAGAGAGAGAGAGAGAGAGAGGGGTGAGAGTTGAAGTGGGTGGTTTTCTATTTTTCCTCTGAGAGAAAAAGAATTCCCAGAGAGCCAAGCAGTTTGAAAACATGAAAAAAACTGATGGATGAAGGAAAAGAAGGAGAAAATAAAGAAGGAACTGAAGATAAAAATTCTGAGTGAAACCAGGTGTGAAAAACAACATAAAAGGAGACAAAAGAGAGGGAAGGGGCAAAAGGAAGAGAGTTGAATCATGAAGGAGGAGAGAAGATGTAACAGGTGTCTGACATTCACATGAGTTGGATTAATCCAGGAAGATGATGGAAATACATCATGAACAGCAGTATTTCTCTTTCTATTTGTTCAGATTCAATTTGTTTACTGTTTTCTAGTAGTAGTAGAGTAGAGTGACATTATTTATAGCATATCATCTTATACTGGACAGATTAAGTCTGATTATGACCCTGGATCCCCATTTTAAAATCATGAAAAATGCCCTTATTGGATAGCGACAGTGGAGAGGTGACAGGGACATTGTGGTTTCATGGTCCAACCTAATTATTTCTCAGCAGTTTTGTCCATCTGAGTGAATGTTATCACAAGCACAATGTTAATATTACTGATAGAAGTGACAGACCAAGCAACAAAACAAGACCCAAATTAGGGTTGGGGGCTATGGAATGTATCGTCAGTGAGGGTCCTCACAAGTATAGACAGTACTGTGTGTGTCGATCACAGGGATCAGTGTGTTATTTTAGAGGCAAATGGCAGCAGATTACAAACCAACAAACATCCAGCTGCTGGAGACTTAACACTAAGCTGTGTGTGTGTGTGTGTGTGTGTGTGTGTGTGTGTGTGTGTGTGTGTGTGTGTGTGTGTGTGTGTGTGTGGTGTGTGCGTGTGTGTGTGTACAGTAGAGTAGTAGGTCATCAGTCGACTGTAGATGGAGATGAAGTTTTTTGCCAAAAAAGTAGGACAGCTCGTCTCTCATACAAACTCTCTCTCTCTCGCTCTCTCTTTCTGGCTGAGTCGGTGGAGCTACATGGACGTGACCCTGATCCCCTGAAATCTCCTTTAATCTACACACACACCATGAGAGGCATCAGAATCGTCAGATAGTCACAAAAACAGTCGGTGAGAGTCTTTCTGCAGGAGAACACGCTCACATTCTCATGGTTAAATATAGCTGCAGGAATGTTTGCCTTTTTCCATCATGCCCATGGTTGTCCAGATGCTGGCTTGACCCCAGACTGGCTGGTTGTGATCTTTTTTATTCATTTATTTTTGTCTACATTTTTGTCCCACAAGCTTGATAATGACGTCAGTCTGTCTGTCCAACATTCTGGTCCACAGAAAACCCTCTTAACAGCCACTGCAGTCGCTTTCACAATGGCAGACTTTAACTAATAATCTACCTAACAGTGAGACTTCAGATAGACGTCTACATTCATCTGTCACAAAAACAAAAGCTTGACTGCCTTAAGCGGGCTAATTATCTATGAATTCTGGGTAAATAAAGACCTTTTTCAAAACAAAAGACATGGCTGACTGAGTAACTGCGTCAAACCATTCATCTCTGATCACCCCAGCAGGAAATGTTTGCTTTCTGGAAGGAATCAACACTTTTTAGCGGGAAAATTCAGCGACAAATGTTGGAATAAACGAAACTTCCAGTAGAATAAAAGCAGTGCTGTAGTACTCAAGTCCGGTCTCTGTGAATCGTTTTTTATATTGCCTCAGATTTGTCTTGGACACATTGGTATTTGCACTTTCACTTTTCTCGGGCTTGGCCATTGGTCTCGCCAAATATTCTGGTTGGTCTCTACCGAGTCTACAAATTATTTCTGAAGTAACCACCTTTAAAACAAAACCATTAACCATTTGGTACATGGAGTGTCCTTGGTGCAGCGGCCATGGGTTACGCTCCAATGGGTATTGGTTTAATTCAAAATCCATCTAGAACAGACAAAATTCATCAAATTTTTTTTTCTGTCTCAGTCTTGACTCTGTCCCTCTCATTTAGACTCAGTCTTGACTTGGACACAAACTTCTTTGGACTTGGCCTCGACTAGCCCTGGTCTTGGACTACAGCAAAACTACATGGTTATGTTTAGGGAAAGATCGTAAGTTACATTACATACCTGACGTAAGTTAAGTACATTGAGTAAGTTAACTTACGGACATAACTAAAAATAAGTCAATACTGAATTTTGCTTTCACACAGGACTTGTCTCCTGGCTGAAAGTAGTGTGTTTGTTCCATCCACCCTGACCTCCTCCCTACACAGACTTTGTCAGCAGGCAAAATGTGACACTGACACGGTATCCTGTAGTGGATCAGAGGGTCTGTGACATGCATGAGACTGGGCTGTTTAATGATAAACCTGCTGAATGTCCTCTGGTCCTTGTCCTCCACAGGAAGGTGTGGTTGAGTAAAGAAGGAAGTCCAACCAGTCGGATCACCAGAGCCTCCTTCAGCAATCAGAGGACCATCGACAAACTGGAGCTCTCCGGCTTCAAGACTCGCTTCTGATCAGCTGATCCAACGCACCCCAAGAGCTTTCCCCAGTGCAAAAACCCCAATAGCTGCTTCTAGTGTTCAGACCTGTGCAATAACTAACTGTAGGGATTAGAGTTTAGATTTTTATATCCATGCTCCTGTGAGCTCTATGATTGAAGACTGTTGAATGACAGATTGGAGGAGGCCATTGCTGTTGGTATGGCACTGTTTTATTCATAATAAAAGAACCGTCTTGCTGTGGTGTATCCATCTGTACAGCAGAGGCACACCAGAGAGATTAACAATGAGCTGAAACTCAATGTAAAGCTTCATCACTAGCAGAGACACCAAACACATTGTCACATTGTTTTCATATTGTCATTTGATTTGTTATTATAAAAATATTGATTGTGTGTGAGATTGTATAGTTTTACTAATGTTAGCCAAAGAAAGACAGAGAGAGAAGCATAAATAAAGGACCACTATTCTGATTACATACAATTTTTGATGGTAGCAGTTACAGTAAAGGTTCCATATGTAAGATTCTGAAGCATTTTCTGTATTATTTTTATGTAATCACTATTGCTTAAAAGATGAGAGCTTCCCCAGTTTACAGTCTTATTACTATGTGAAGGTTTCGGGATGGATTTCCCAGTAAAATCCAGAGGATGTGACGTTTATGAGTGCTCCCTTGTGCCCTCCCCCTACGCTTCCCTACAGTGTCAACAGTGTACAACACTACAGTATATGCCACTGTATGATGTAAACAAACACACCCCCAGTGATGTTGTCATTACATAACAGTAAGTCACGTGACCCGATTACCTGTCTTCTGATCCAATTAAATCACAGCGAGAGAATCCCTGATCGGCTGCCAAGGCAACGACAGCAAAAACCCTGACACAGCAGGAACAGAGCTCCTGTTCACCGCAGAGACTCAGTTTGTTTGAGAGAGAGAAAGAGAGGAAGCACACAATAATTAAATGAATATAAAAACTGATCGTACTAGAAAATATTCAGCAGGAAATGTGTAATGAAGGAGCTAAAAACACCAGAATGATCATTTAAAATTCTATTTTTCTCATAAAATATCTCGTCTTAGATGAAAACAACACGCTGAACATCATCTCCAATCAAGTGTGTGTGCTTAGAGACCAACTCTCCCTGGATACACTGTGAGAAGTGGACGCTTTGTCGTCATGCCAACCTATCCCAAGATATTACTCTCTCTCTCGCTCTCTCTCTCTTTCACACACCACACACACACACACACATACACACACACAATCAGGACAAAAGACGAGGAGGCGTTAGTTGTTAGTGTCAGTTTGAAGAGGATCTTAATGTAATGATATACTTACATAACACACACACACACACACACACACACTCTGCTGGAGCACAGAGTGGACAGACTATTGACCCTTCATCTACTGTCATGAAAACGCCATGACAGAGCTGTGTGTGTGTATGTGTGGGTGTGTGGTGTGTGTGTGTGTGTGGGGGGGGCTGTAATGGAATAATAGCTGCAGGCGGTGTCTCCACAGAAAACGGCAAGAACTAGAATGTCTCTCTCTTTAATTCTCCTAAAAGCCAATGGATACGCTATATGTATGTCTACATACTATCAGTGAGGAGAGGCTAAATAACACCTTTCTGTAGCACAAACTACATCCTCCAAAATAACCATATATGGAATCAATACTCCTCTGAAGTTTGGGGCAGATTGGATATATTATATTATTGAAGTGGATCCGATCAATTTTCTTGGAGTTTGTTAAAGTATGTGTGAATTTATATACTTATCCGGGGCTGCTCTTTAGGGGACGCCATAGGAGGCGAGACCTTAATGACACGTGCATTTCACCACCGCTACATGTGTGCCACGTTTCATGAGTTTCGGACCATGTTTAGGCTGCCAAAACTGCGATTCTGTTGCTCTGGCCTCAAGTTTAACTATTAAAAACTTTGTTACCAAGAAGTATCTGGAATTCTCCAGGTGTGGTTTTTACATTTAAATTCTCTTAAGCTAAAACCACATGTTGCTGTGCCAGAGAACATCACAGGCCTCCTATCTGAATCTGAGTCTTTTCCCAGCTTGCTTTTTGTCCATAAATGCTCCCAAATACAAATAATCCCCCCCATAATCCTTCACCTCCAACAGCACTCTCACACTTTCTCTTCTGTTCACTGCAGAATCTGTTGCAAATAATACAGCAAATAATAATAACACAGCCACCCCCACACTCACACTGCTGCCATGAGAGAGAGAGAGAGAGAGAGAGAGAGAGAGAGAGAGAGAGAGAGAGAGCCCACCCACACACTTCAATCATTGTGGAAAAGCTGGAAAAAAAATCCACTGGCCTCGACCTCTTCTTCCTCCTCCTCCTCCTCTTCCTCCGCCTCTTCTTCTCCCGGCAACCAGCTTGGCATCCCATAGTGGTCACCATGGAAACGCCACTCTGTCTGGAAGTGCTTGTGAGAGAGATACAGAAAGAAAAGAAAAGTTGATGCCTTCTCCAGTCTTCTTCTCTTCTTTTCTCACCCGTGTCCTCTCCTCCTCTCCAAACTCCCTTTTCCCTCCTCTTTCTCTCCTCTACCCATCTATTTTCTCCCTGCATATCTGCCCAGCACTTCAGCTGCCCACACAGTTAGTCTTATTCATCGCACTAGACACACACCTGAGTGGGTGCTGACAGCCAGCTGTTGCCAGGCAACATGCTGAAGTTGAGTCCAACTCTACTGTGAAAGAAACTCTGACATTTAACACTAACAACATCTTTTGTTCTGTTCTATTTTACTCTATTCAGTGGATTGTATGCCTGATAAGTGGAATGAGACGGCCACAGTGAATGTAGGAGAACATGTAGTGGCTAAAAACCTACCAGCAACCCTTCAGTTAGGCGGCTGTGCACTAGCTATTCCATTGTAATGAAACTGGACAAAAAGTTTTGAGGGGTTGAACACACTGACAGACTGCTCTGAAGGTACAGACCATACTTCTACGGTTTCATTAATCTTAATGAGCCAGATGGTTTGAAGCTGCCTATCACGGGTGAACTTCAACCAGTCAAATCAACAAACCATATAATGTAGTCAAAGTCTTACCGAAGCCAGTAAAGAAATATCAAGAAAAGCCTCCGCTGCCGATACATGCATCACGTTCTGATTCATGTTTTTTAAATTTTAAAAGACCAGTGTGTAAGATTTAGTGGCATCTAGTGGTGCAGTTGCAGATTCCAACTCCCTCACTCCACCCTCCAATTCTACCACGAAGGAGAAACTACAGTGGCTGCGAAACTAGAGCCAGTGGTTTATTTGTCCATTCTCGGCTACTGTAGAAACATGGCAGACTCAACTTGCGGCGCCTGTAGATGTAAGGCTCTCTCTGAGGTAACACAACAATTCTTATTTTCAGCTGATTATACACTAATGAAAACATAGCTATAAATATTAGATTGACTTTCGGCCAATAGAACCTGAATGTTACACGGTGTGTAACATAAGTACGAGAAAGTTACTATATAGTACAGAACATTAGGTCATAAACGGTTGAACAAAATCTAATACATCTATATAAAGCCCAGCCTAATCTACAATAATCTCATTTTAAAACTATTTTAAAACTGTATATTAAGCTGAAATTGGCAAGAAATCTGAAAAGCACCTCTTACAGGCTTCAATATTCATGACACACTAAAAATACTGATGATTTAGTTCTTTCCTTCTTTCCTTCTTTCCTTCTTTCCTTTCTTCCTTCCTTCCTTCCTTCTTTCCTTCTTTCCTTTCTTCCTTCCTTCCTTCCTTCCTTCCTTCTTTCCTTCTTTCCTTTCTTTCTTCCTTCCTTCCTTCTTTCCTTCCTTACTTCCTTCCTTCCTTCCTTCCTTCCTTTCTTTCTTTCTTTCTTTCTTTCTTTCTTTCTTTCTTTCTTTCTTTCTTTCTTCCTTCCTTCCTTTCGTTCTTTCTTTCCTTCCCTCCTTCCTTGTGTGAACCATTCTCCAGATATACTACAGGTAGTGTTGCAGCGACAAGCTTTTGTCAGCCTTGTTTCTATATAGCTGTAGGACAGTTTCTTACTTCCCAACAGCTCAGTGATTTCCTTCCGAAGCTCGTCCTGTTTAGGATATCTTTATAAAAAGGCTGGTGTGGATTATATAAGATGTGCCGCTTCTCAACCTGACAAATCACTTTCTTGTCATCATGGTTTCTGGCAGAAAGCCCTGAAGGCAAACTTTTCCCATGGGCTCATGCTGACTGATGACATAGCATAGCCAGACCTATCTCAACACTTCAGCAGTTCTCAACGGAGAAGGAAAAAGTGTACAAAACTTTCACTTGTTCGCATTACTTCCAGTTAGGAAGTGGTGTCATAGTGGTGTTAAACAAAAGATCAGGGTGGTCACTGACAGGGTTAGGATTCATGAATATCCACTGTAAATATTATGACAGTGTGACCAGTGTTTGTTGGGACGTTGATCCTTAAAAAAGACTCAAGGTCAAAGATATTTGTTTTTATCTTGTTTACTCAGTGTGTATGGGAGGATGCTGGACTATTCAGGAACTGTGAAAGTGTTGGCTGGATATTTTGTCTCTCAAATGTCTTCGCAGAATGTGAATGCAGAGCTGCAGGTAGAAAACAGGGAGTGATCTCAGACATAGCACTGCTCTCAGGCAGCTGCTGCATGATGGGAATTACCTCCATGACCTTTGACCTTCTCCTTACCCTCCTCTACTTCATAACAAATATGGCTGTGGTCTGCTGGACATGTCTACATGGTGTCTGGTATCTGAGTGATAATCCCTGCACACGCACACACACACACACACACACACACACACACACACACACACACACACACACACACACACACACGTCTGTGTGATCCAAGGGCCAAAAGGACCTTCAAGGCCAGATCACATTCTGCAAACACGCACAGTGTTAATGTGCACACACACTGCTGCACTGTACGTCAACACTGTTGGATGTCCTTCAGACCCAGAATGCATCTTTCTCTGTTTGTGAGAGAGAAAGTCATGACATTATCATGATGCGACAGTATGATTACAAACTGACTGACAGCCAGTGTTTGTCAGTGCAAGTTGTTCTAGGTCGACTCATAATAAATCACGAGTGAAAACAATAATCAAGCAAAGGCACGGCAGTTTCTACTTGTACCATGGCCAGTAATCAACCCACTTAACCCACACTTGATGCACACTTATCCTAATACCGTTTCAGAGTGGTATTCAGAGCTAAGTGTATCCCACCATTCACCACAACCTACTGTGCCACACCACTCAGTTGTTGGCGGTAAGTGTTGGTTTTGGGGCCAAATACAATCAGCACAAATGAAAAAGTTAGAGTTTATGACAGGTTGGATTCAGTGTCAATGTTAAACTGTATATAATGATGGATAACATGACAGCTCCCCGAAAGTAGAAGTTAAAGTCGGTTGGCTGCAGTATAGGTTGGTGGTTCCCACCCTGATGCTTGGGACCCCCCACTAGTGTTCGCCAAAACTTCTTGATTTTAAGGGGTGTAAGAAAACTTAAAAGATATTCACAGTAGGCCTGTGTCTCAGCGTTTCTGTGAAGAAAACTGTATGAAATTGTTATTTTTAAAGTTTAGATTATTATTTAAGATCTAAACTTTGAAGCCCTGAACACTCTCTGATAAACAGCCTTGTCCTGCAATAGAAAAATTCAAACAACCAAAGAGCTAACAGAACAATGAGAAGCCTATTAAGTATGTATGTATGTTTGTTTTTTTAAATAATGATACAGACAGAGAATTGTGTAAAATGTTCCTAAAACTATCATGAAAACTCATCACAGGAAATAATCTGCTCAAAATTAATTCAAATGACTCATTTTACACAACCTTCCTGCAGTCATTGTGTTCACTGTCTGGGTTCATAATACAGTTTGTCTGTTGTTCTGTACTGTTATTGTTATACATCCGAGTCATCGGTTTACACGATAGAAAAGGAAAAAGTAAAAAAAAAAAAAAGAATCCCAAAGATGGTTTCTGTCACTTTAGATATTCTTATTCGTATTGTGATGATATATGTTCAACTGTTGATTATTCTGATCATTTTGGTTTTAATTAGTTATTTCATGCTATAAAAAGGGGGGTTCATGTCATGATTGACAGCTGAACCCTGCTCATCAGCCAGGTGTAAGGGTTGGATCTCGATACCACAGCACCAACCCAATGATTTCATGCAGACTCCAAATGCCATGCCAAGCTGAGATGCATTGTCCATCTATATATGCAGTCAGTGGTGTGAGTATTATTATTTATGTTCAAACACTACAAACTGTTATGGTAAAACCTCCACTGATGGTTATCACAAGGTTGTATTTCTTCTTGTTGAAGGGATGGATGAGAACAATATCACATATTTATGCTGCAAATCACCAAATCAGGTTCAGGAATGTTCTGCAAATACAGCCTCTTTCCATTTCCCTATAACTAATGTAAGGTGGCTAAAACGAAATAAATGGAGTTCACCTCTGATGATTCATCAGAGTAGGAGGTTTATAAAGATGAGTACTTTGACAGAGAGCTGCAGGGTTTTAGTCTCAGCTGTCTGCTGGGCTCAGGGAGGATGTGGTGGTTGAAAATGTGGAGATAAGAGCAGGGTCAGCATTAAATTTCCCCTCACTCAGAAGGCCTGATGGGAAATGTGTCTGGAAAGTCAAACATTTCTAACACTACAGTTGACCGGAGTGTTTCCAGTCATAATGTCAAAGCGTCACTGATAAGATGACACAGGTGTATCGTCATGATTTTTCTAATAAATGCTGTTTATTCATCCATTCTGTTTGATCACACTCACCCCCAACTTTTCAGAGTCAGTCCTGTTTGGCATCATTCAGTCTCTGCAGACTCTCACCCCTCCTCCTCCTCCCTGCTGGCTGAATCTCCGCCTCTCACTCAGACTTTAGGAGCTGGAAGCGCTTCATACATATCTCACTGCAGCCTTGAGGGGTGGAGACATTCTAGTGGTTCAGAGAGACCCTAAAAATGCATTGTCACTTTTACTTGTATTCATTCAGTGATAAGGAGAGATGATGAAGTTAAGTTGTATTTTTCCATTGGTAATGTAAACCCTTTACTGGCTTTCTGACCCTATAGGCTCCCATAGGTACCAAACATTTGGACATAATCTATAATATAAGAAACACAACTATTTTTAATAAAGAGATCTATTGAAACACTTGCAGACACAGTTTATTATCCCCTGTTACAGTGGGATAAAAACATTACAGTTCAGGATTAAATATAAAAAATATTTTATATAAATGAACCTTACATTCAATTATAAACAAGCAAAGAAATGTACATTATTGAATGTAAACATTTCATATTTACCTATAATGTTTTAAATTGATATGTCATGAAAACCATATCAAAGTGATAGAAAAATCCAGAAATTAGGGCTTTTTTTGTTTATATAATTTTTTAAATACAATCCTGTTATTAATTACAAATATTGGAGATATGTGATGTATGTATAATACTGGTAACATTTGGAGTAACAGTAGAGAGAAGAAAAAGGTTTTGTTTCATGATAAAACTGTAACCCAGGTTAAGAGCTAAAACCAATCAAACAAATCCTGGACCACTCCCAAAATATAAATATCCATGTTTGGCGAGATCACTTCCTCTTCCTCTTCCTCTTCCTTTCACTCGTTAGTCGGCTTTGTTGATAAAATAAGAGCTGGTCAACAAACAACAACATTATTTAGTTTTTAAAATGAATTATTTAAGTCATTTATCCAGTGAAATGATTAGATTGTTACAGCCTATATGTTTTCTTCTGATTCATATCGCAGTCATTTTGGACAAAACCTGAAGCTGGACGTCTTCAGTTTGTTTCTTTATGAGCCACATCAGAGACACATTTTTGTATGACCTTGTGATGAACAATAAAGTTTCTCTGATTTTGATTCACATTTCATAGACTAATGATAATAATCGTCATCATCAGCAGATTCATTAATAATGAAGCCCTAACTGTCTGTGTTACAACTCCATGAAAGGACCAGTGTGTAAGATTTAGTGGCATCTAGTGGTGAAGATGCCAACTGAATACCTCTCGTGTATTTATTTTTGATGACCGGGAACAAGAATGGGCTGGGAAGTAGGAGAAATTAATGTGGCTGCAAAACTTGCAAAAAAACCCCAATCTAGAGCCCGTATTTGGTTTGTCCTTTCTGGGCTACTGTAGAAACATGGTGGGTCAACATGGCGGACTGTGTTAAAAGCACCTGTGGCACCTGTAGATAAAAATGAGTCATTCTAAGGTAATAAAAACATAAATTCAGGTGATTATACACAAATTAAAACATACCTATGAATATTATATTCCAGTTCTGCCATTAGATCCTGGTAAATGTTACACACTGGACCTTTAAAGTTTTATTTTTTGTCTATGTGCATAGTTTTGTCATCACCATTTTATACTGTAGCGCCGCTCCGCCGGTGCTGCGGGGTGTTTGAACCGAGCGCACCGGGCGCTGCAGTCCGGGCCGTGCTGAGGCAGAGAGGGGCGGAGGGCGGGGGGACGAAGAAGAGGAGGAGGAGGATTGGTGGATTTGAGGACTCTCTACTCCTGCGTTGTTTTTGCTCCGAACCCTCCACAGTCCGTCCGTCCGTCCTTCACTCCGAGCGGGACTCCACTGCGCTTCTGTCGGCCTCCAGGTGAGTGTGAACCCGGTCCGCACCCAGCCGCTCTGTGTCCTTTATCCCGCTGCTGCGCCTTCTTTTCTCTCTGCACGGATTTGTTTCATTGTGTTGTGACTGGTGGAGCATCCACATCCACGACGGCGGTGGCTGTGGCTGTGGCGGGGATGTGCGTCCCTTCGCTCTGATTTCCCGGGTTACAAAGCCACCTTACCCGGGTGAATTGTTCAAACCACCAGTTAAACCACCAGTTTAACCACCAGTCTGGTGCAGCAGCGGCTCGTTGGGGCTAAAAGTCGCCGGGCAGCGAGCTCTTCTCCCGGGTACGTCTCCCTGCTTTCCACCGCTCTCCATCGTGTTGTTGAATTTGTATTTGTGTTGGTGTGTGTGTGTGTGTGTGTGTGTGTGTGTGTGTGTGTGTGTGTGTGTGTTTGTGTTTGTTGGTTTCAGTGCGCCACAGCTGCTGCTGGTTGTAGTTGTTGTTGTTTATTGTTGTCGAACTCTGCAGCTCTCTGATCATCTCCACTCAGAGGTTTAAATGGAAGAATCCATGAATGATTTTTTTTTCCTCACCTCCCTGATGGAGATGATGATGAAGATGATGGTGGTGGACATGGTGGCGCAGGCGTGGTCGCCTCTGCTGACCTCAGTCCCAGAGCAAACACTAGAATATTCCCATAATACTGTAATATTCCTGCAGGGAGTCTCCGCAGTGACCTTCGGTGTACTTTCCGGTGTATGTTCTGTCTCATGGTGTCACTGAAACACTCCTGTAATCTCCCTGTTGGACCTCAAAGTGCATCTATGCTGTGTAATGGTAATTTTCCTTCAGCTCTTGCTGTATATTCTCATCCTCTTATAATCTTGAATGATTCATGAGTGTTTTTGGGCTCTTCCTGTGGTTGTAAATGAAGGTAGTTGTTGGTAGTTTTCTCTCCTGTGTGTTGTGTTACAATATCCCTGCAGTATCTGAGTGTATTTTAGGCCCACTGTAGTTGTGGGACAGTAGAATCAGAGGAGTTGTGCGTAACGCTGCCGTTTTGAGGCGTTTTGTTTTTTGCGCAGACCCTGTTTCAAATCCTGTAGAGCAATTATGTAATCAGATACAGGCCGGACTGCTGCTTTCTCTCCTCCTCCCTCCCCTTCTCCATTTCTTTCCCCTCTCCTCTCCTTTTTTCCTTCTAATCTTCCTCCTCTTTTCCTTCTCTCATCTGTTCTCTCTGTTTTTCTTTCCACCCTGTTTTCTCCTCGTTTTCTTCTTTCTGCCCTCTTCCCCTTTTTTCTTTTCCACTCCTTCCCTTTCTCATACTGCTTCTTCCTATCCTCCTACACACTCTTTTCTTTCTCACCTCAGGTTTTTTCTTATCATCGTTTCTTCCCCTCCCGTCCTCCCCTCTCTGTTTCTATCCTCACCTCCTCCTCCCCCACCGCTCTCTTTATTGCTTTGATGCAGCAACTGTGAAACATTTGGCAACTTGTTGACCGGAGCCTCTATAATGTCACAGTTAGGTGTGGAGCTGTTCCAAAGCGCCTGCTGCTTTAACAACCTGCTCCTAAAGAACAAAATTACATAATAAAGTTGAATCCTTTGAATGTAAATCTGCTCTTAGAAAGATCATTCCCATAATAAAAATGTTAACGTGCATTAATGCCCTGCTCCCATGGGGAGGTCAAAAGTCGACGATTCAGACCTGTGGACGAGGTGAAGGTCAATCTTTCAACCCAAAATCTTTTGTTTTAACTTTTAGATTTAAATTAAAAAAATTACACTTTCTCTTTGTAGCTGAAAGCATGAAGCTCAACGTTTTAACTGATTTCAAAGTAAAACTGCACAGTTTTCACCAGTTTATCTACTTCGAAGCATTGTGTGAAACCTTTTGATACTAGTGTTCATGGGTACCTGGGTTTGGTGCAAATACCAAACAGTCCTCCACCGAGTTAGCATCACATTCCTGTGACGCTGTCAGACTCATGCAAAGATTTAAAAAACATCTAAATCAATGCAGCACAACCAGAGAGATCATTTTTTAATTCCACACATAGTTCTTTCTAGTCAAAACCTGTTGCCTACATTACCCACAATGCCTCTTGGCAGTTGTGGCTAACTTAGCCTGGAGCCTCTAGCCTGCAGCAGAGACGAGCAGCAGCTGCAGAACTCACGTCTTTCCATCTCCACACCGACACATTTGTTTCATTCTCAGGCGTCTCGTCTTCAACTGACGCTGACTCAAGTGACATCACTTGAGGATATTTACTAGACCTCACGCAGCTCCCTCCGGAGACACTAAAGACTTTGTACAACTTTAAAAACTGGCAGTAGAACACCTGGAGACATTGCAGTGTAAAACAAAAGGAGCTGGTTAAACCAGTTGGCTGAACAAATGAATTTTGATCTCGGATATTAACGTGAAACAAACAGAACCGTCTTCTGTGCTGGACGTACTTTATGGAACAAAAGAGGAGGCGTCTTTAAATTTGGTACAGGTTTTTTTACTTTCCATGTGACGTTCGCTGACGTGGTCCGAACGCAGATGTGCTGTTTGTGTTTACAGGCTCTTTAAATGAAATGGAGCAACGCCAGACAGAGAGCGGGATGCAGTGGGGTTTATGGGAAATGTGGTTCTAATTTAAAGAAACAGAATATGCTATATGCAGCAGCTTTAAAAAGATTTTCTGAACCTGTTTCCTCTGGTTTGAGGTGTTGTTCCATTTGAAGCTGGTTTTGGCCTCCACATATAATTGCGTTTACTTATCACATCACATCCCGTCAGTCAGTTTGGCTTCTCAGTCTCTTTCCATAAATGATCTGCAGGGACATTTTAAGTGAATTGATGCTCCTGCAGGAAACATGAGTACCACTCATGTTTCCTGCAGGAGCATTTTGGCTCCAAGTCAGAAGTTTTTTTTTCTCTCCTCCGGTTCTCTAATACCTCAGTGGCGGCGGCGATGATGAAGCAGGTTTGGCTCGGCCCGGTTGGCGTGATGCAGAGGAGATTTGAGCTATAAATCATCGGCTCTGCTGCAGAGTCCTGAGCTTTCAGCTTCATCATTTTAATACCAGGCTAATATTACACTGAACTACTCATGTTACATTTCTTCACCTCCTCGTAAAGGCATACACCAAGGACTTCAGATTTGTACCAGTTACATAACAAATTCTTATAGAAACACTGGAAGATAGTATAAAAACCTGCACATGTACATAAACAATATGATTTTATTATAAAACTTAACTGCTGGTGATCATTTTTCAGTAGGGCTGATTATTGAGCCTTAACACTGCTCTGGTAGCATCTGAAATGTGTCCATAGCATTCAATATTGAAAATTGTCAAGCTGCTTTTGTTAAGTACTTAATATTTGAGAATTCTGACAGAATTTTGTTGAAAGGAATAAAAGGTTTTCTAGAAAAAAAAATGTTTTTTTTTATTAAAAATTAAATTATTAAAAAAAAACATTAAAAAAAACCTCATAGTATAAAGAAAACACCCTAAAAAATGTTAACTTCTAACATCATAGCCGTCAGTTTATGACACTGCTATCTAGAGGTTGGGGGTTTAAACACAAAAATGGATGCAGCGTTTTTGAGAATCGATACAATAACAACAAATATCACAATATGTTCATTTTAAATATTTTCTTACACCCCTAATATTAGCACCAGTATTTGATAAAGTCAAACCATTCCTGTTTGTTGTTTTTGACATTTGGTGGATTACATGATTAATGCACCCGTTCTCCTGGAAGTTTCACTGAAACAGGAAATGCTTCACAGCTGCACTGGGCTCAAAATGTTGTTGATCTGTCTGTTGAATAGTCTTTTATCTTTTCACCTCGCAGTTTGTCTTGGTGATTCTCTTTTTTGCTTTCAGTCTCTCACTCTGTCTTTCTTTCTCTTCAGAGCTCGCTCCACATCTCCTGTAAACAGAACCCTAAGTGTGTCACTGTTTTCATTAGTGCAGAACACTGTTGACAGAGTGTGTGTCTCAGGCGTCTGGTTGTTTGCTGAGAGGAGGACGATGGTTGAAGAGGAGGAGGAGGAGCTGCAGTCATGTGATCAGAAATGGCATTAAGAAAGAAAATGAAGTTTTTAAAAGGCCTTTGATCCCCCTCGAGTCGGACTGATTAATATAGACTGATAGAAACCACAGAGCAGGTATTGTCCAGTCATTGCGGAACGGAGGGCGTGATCAAAGACAGACGCACAGCTATCTTATATATTTTGACTCTAAGGGGAACGTGAGGAAGAGGATTTTGTTCCCAAAGAAAAGACTGTTTCTGACTGTTAATTGCTGAAGATTTGTGTTGGTCAGGATTCACATACATTCTAAAACAGGAGCCAGTGTTTGGTTTGAAAAATGGAAAATGGAATGGAAATGAAAAACAGCTCATTCTAAGATAACAAAAAACACAACAATTATTATATTCAAGTGATTATACACTAATGAAAACATAGTTATGAATATTATATTCTATTTCTGACAATTGATCCTCCTAAATGGACCTGTTTAAATAGTAAAGAAGTGAAGTGAATATAGTAATGTAGGAAGTAAAAGGGGTATTATAATTCCTTTTTAAAATGGTTTCTGTTTTTGTTTGTTTGGAGAAAAGTTTCAGACATAATTCAAAGACAGGAGGTGTCTCAGCCCCGCCCAAACTGTTTGACAGGTGATTGAAGACTGTTAATGATGAAGTCCAAATCTACAGAATACGCTGAGATTTGGTGTATTGTCCCTTTAAGGCAGAGAGCTGTGTGGTTGTATTTTCAGAAACCAGGCCAGTCGTCAGTGTTTCTGTCGTCCTTTTTTCTCGTCCTCTCCTCTCCCAACTGCAGACCCTCCCTCCCTCCCTCTCACCTTT